GCTAAATTTCGTGCAAATCGAAAGATATATAGGTACTTTGGTGGACCATTTACATTAAATCGGACGAAAATATATATGGGAGCTATATCTAAATCTGAACCGATTTTCAGGAAACTTAACACACATCTTTCTATACTTCATTCATTACGCTGTGCCAAATTTCGTGCAAATCGAAAGATATATAGGGACTTTGGTGCACCATTTACATAAAATCGGACGAAACTATATATGGGAGCTATATCTAAATCTGAACCGATTTTCAGGAAACTTAACACACATCATTCTATACTTCATTCATTACGCTGTGCCAAATTTCGTGCAAATCGAAAGATATATAGGGACTTTGGTGGACCATTTACCTTAAATTGGACGAAAATATATATGGGAGCTATATCTAAATCTGAACCGATTTTCAGGAAACTTAACACACATCATTCTATACTTCTTTCTTTACGCTGTGCCAAATTTCGTGCAAATCGAAAGATATATAGGGACTTTGGTGCACCATTTACATAAAATCGGACGAAACTATATATGGGAGCTATATCTAAATCTGAACCGATTTTCATGAAACGCAGCACACATCATTCTAGGCCTAATTCATTACGCTGTGCCAAATATCGTGCAAATCGAAAGAAATGTAGGGACTTCGGTGCGCCATTTACATTAAATCGGACGAAAATATATATGGGAGCTATATCTAAATCTTAACCGATTTTTCCCAATTTCAATAGGGTTCGTCCTTGGGCCAAATAAGTGACCTATGCCAAATTTCATTCAAATCGGATCATAAATGCGACATGTACTTTGTTCACAAAACGGACATGCGTAAATCGACTCAGAAAGTGATTCTATGCATATTCTCAAAGGAACCATGGGTCTATCTCGTTTCCTTTTGCCTGTTACAAACATATGCACAAAGACATAATACCCTGTACCACAGTGTGGTGAAGGGTATAAAAAATCCAATAATATTGAATACAAAGATATTTCATTTTTCAATTGTCTATTGGGAATTTCTGTTTCATTGTGTGCATTACATGCATTTTTATTTACGAAATTCCCCTTTGCCACCTCCGGGACCAATTATTATTATTTGTTAACACGTGTTTACATTGTCAATATGATAAAACAAGTTAATCACAGCTGGTGGAAAAAAGGTTTTCGCTTTTATTTTTCATAAATTATTGAGTGCTTAGAAAAAAAAAACGGGAGATACGAATAGGGAGAGCTGCTAACAAAACTCTACAAATGACGCTTCAGGTTAATTATCTCTTTTGTAAAATCGTACTAATAACTAAGATAAGGGACTGAAAATAAAAAACAACAATGCTATCTTGAACTATGCTGTAAGATATTTATAAATTTTAATAAGAAACAAAAAAAGTCTGCGTAATTTTGATTGCAGCAATAAAATAATTTGAAATCAAAATTCCAGACAGTTTATAATTTTTTTTAAAAATAGTTTTTAAAATCATTTTTAGGAACATACACAAGGCGTGGTTTTTTTATACCCCACACAACTATGTTGTCAGGGAATTATAGCTTTGTGCAGCCCCAAGAGTTTGTAACGCCGCGAAATATTGGTCCTTGACCCACCTTTAAGTATACCGATCGTCATATCTCGATTAGCTGAGTCGATCTAGACATGTGTGTCCGTCCGTCCGTCAGTCCATTATAATTTGTAAACACGATACAGGCCACAGTTATGGACCAATCTTTACGAAATTTTGCATGTAGGATGGGTTCTGGCCAACGAAGGCCCCTATTGTTTTTGGTAAAGATCGGTTAATATTTAGGGGATGAAATGGACCAAATACTGAATTTTTGTCGGTTTTTCTGGTCGGTCCAGAGGCCGCAATTATTGCCCAAACATCTCGAATTTTTTACATGTAGAAGGGGATTTGATAGAGATCGGTCAATGTTTAAAAGGTCAAATGGACCCTGACTTTTGTGTGAAAATATATTTACTCCTGAAAGACATAGACCCTATAACTTGATAGTATATCCAAGAGAAGTGGTTGACCTTTAAATTGATATCAATTATATTACCGTATGTACTTGGATGTGGGAGTTGCACTTAACTATTGACAGGTGATTACGTTTACAGATATTATTTAGTAACCCATTACCACACTAGAGGTCGAAAATATAGCGCTGATCGCTTTGAAATTTTCCATGAGGTTCCATGTTATGGTCAAGGACAACGCCTATAATTTTCGGTGATGATCAGATAATAATTTTGGGATGAAGTGGTGCGAAAACTTATTTGTTTGTGTTTTTCGAGTTGATCTATAGGCCACAAGCCGAACATCACAACACAACCCACTTTGAAGGGAATATGGACAAGTAATTAGAAGGCCTGTACTGAATATTGGTAATATTCGGAAAATAAGTAATTGTAAGGAAGAGGTGCAGTTGAACTCTAATCGCGCAAGAGGGTGCAGATATCACGAAATATTGTCCAGGCTCGGAATAAACATGCGGAGAATGTTAGAGTTCCGTGGTAGCTGTTTAGGGTATCGCATAGTCGGCCCCGTCCAACTATACTGCACCGCTCACTGGTTTAAAATATTTTTTAAGGGACCTCAACAAGGCCTGGATTTTAAAGGACCCCAACAAGGCCTGGATACATACAGGGTATTATGTCGTTGTGCATATGTTTGTAGCAGGTAAAAGGAAACAAGATAGACACATGGTTCCTTTTGAGAATATGCCTAGAATCACTTTCTGAGTCGATTTATGCATGTCCGTCGTCCGTCTGTCTGTCTGTCTGTCCATGTTAAATTGTAAACAAAGTACAGGTCGCATTTATGATTCGAATTGGATGAAATTTGGCACAGCTCATTTATTTGGCCCAGGGACGAACCTATTGAAATTGAGAAAAATCGGTTCAGATTTAGATATAGCTCCCATATATATCTTCGTCCGATTTAAGGTAAATGGTGTACCAAAGTCCTTATATATCTTTCGATTTGCACGAAATTTGGCATAGTGTACTGAATTAGGTCTAGAATGATATGTGTTAAGTTTCGTGAAAATCGGTCAAGATTTAAGATATAGCTCCCATATATATTTTCGTCCGATTTAAGGTAAATGGTGCACCAAAGTCCCTATATATCTTTCGATTTGCACGAAATTTGGCATAGCATACTAAATTAATTCTAGAATGATGTGTGTTAAGTTTCCTGAAAATCGGTTCAGATTTTGATATAGCTCCCATATATATTTTCGTCCGATTTAAGGTAAATGGTGTACCAAAGTCCCTATATATCTTTCGATTTGCACGAAATTTGGCATAGCATACTAAATTAATTCTAGAATGATGTGTGTTAAGTTTCCTGAAAATCGGTTCAGATTTTGATATAGCTCCCATATATATTTTCGTCCGATTTAAGGTAAATGGTGTACCAAAGTCCCTATATATCTTTCGATTTGCACGAAATTTGGTATAGTGTACTGAATTAGGTCTAGAATGATGTGTACAAAGTTCCGTGAAAATCGATTCAGATTTAGATATAGCTCACATATATATTATCATCCGATTTAAGGTAAATGGTGTACCAAAGTCCCTATATATCTTTCGATTTGCACGAACTTTCGCACAGCGTACTGAATAAAGCCTAGAATGTTATGTGCTTAGTTTCGTGAAAATCGGATCATATTTCGATATAGCTCCCATATATATTTTGGTCCGTTTTAATGTAAATGGTTCACCAGAGACCCTATATATTCTTTGATTTGCACGAAATTTGCAAATTTGCTAAATTTCGGGAAAATCGGTCCACATTTAGTATATTTGGTCTGGTCCTTCAAAAATTCGACATCTGTTAGGATTCCATCTGTTGAATATACCCAAAGTGGTGAAGGGTATCATATAGTCGGTCCCATCCGACTTTACTACTTTCCTTACTGGTTTTAAATAATTCTTTAGGAACCTATAATGCCTGTATTCGATTTTCCTTTCATTTATTTCAGATATTGCTGCGTAGCAGTAATTTTTAAAGTGTGTTGCATACTTTTAGGTGTAATCTCTTTATTGACATCAGTGTTTCTGAATTACTCAAGTTAATCTCTGAAACGATTATTCATTTATGGTCTCACTCCAAATCACTGTGCCTGGGGCAATATAGTATGAACTAAAAAAATAGGTTGGCCCCAAGAGTCATTAACATTTCATCATGTTTGCTCATATAGAATTTTATCAAGCCATATGGTTATTATTATTACTATATAATTATTGCAAATCGTTAATAAAAAAATGTCTCCCTCATCTTATCATTTCAGCAAGCAAAAACAGAACAAAAAAACTGGCTCTATTAACACCCCCATAAAGTACAAATTGAGAGCGAACAGCAGTGATCGCGCACTAGCTAGATCACTATCAAGAAAAATGCCAACGGCAAGCGATTGCCGGGCAAACAAACAATAACATTTGAATCGGATTGCTACTCTGCTCACACACAGACAGACTGGATAGAATCGTCATAAAATCGACAAACCACCACCTTAGAATAAGAAAATAACAAAAAACAAACAAATAAGACCTGTCAAGATCATAAACCGCGAGTACAAGCGGCTTATCTACGATTTTTCTCCAAAAAAACAAAGATTACAACTCGGGCAGGGCAGCTTGTTGTGGATGAGGAAATCTATCATAAAGGAGAGAGAGAGAGAGTGAGGAAGGGAGCGACAAGATATCGAGTGGTGGGGTGGTATGCCTATCAAATGCTTTGGAAAAAAAATTTTACCCATGGCTCAGGTGTTGTTAGTTGTTAGCAAGCAATTACCTCCAGCGGTTGATGGTGGTTGGAGGAAAAACTAAACACTTTTCAATGTAATTTTTTCAAATGCCATGCAGCAGATTCAAAACTGTGAGATTTTCTTAATATTATTAACGACATTCTAAAAGAACAAAAAGTGATTTGTTTTTTTGAGATCTAATCCAAAAACTGTGATATAAAATTTAAGAAAAAACAAAAACTGAAATTATCGAAGCAATGGCCGTGATCAATAAACGTTTGTTGCCCATTAAGGCTCACTATTTCTTTTTTATGGCGTGTAAGTAGCTAGAGTTTTTTTTAATTTTTATTTCAAAATTATAATTAATATTTTTCCTTTTTTTCTTCACAGCCATGGGTCCCATTTTACCCCAATTAGCGGTTATTGGCAAACAAATTGGCATAGATCCGGAGGTAATGGGCTATATTACCTGCATTTTGCCGGTAATGTATGTCATCGCTAAGCCGATGTTTGGTTTTATTGCTGATTATTTTTCGGTAAGTTGGAAATGAAGTGGGCGATATATAAGGCCTGGATTTTTAAAAAATATTTTTAAGGGACCTATAAGAGATCTGGAATTATTTTAAAAGCTTTATTATAAATAGAAAAGGATTTTATATTAACGCAGATATTTTTCCCCAAAGGTTTTTTCTCTTCTATTTGCAGAAGATCCCACGAAGTTCTAGTAGAAGAATATATATAAGAACTTCTATATAAAATGATTATTAGAAGGTCGTATCTTAGTAAAGGACATGTCCCCTTACAAGCCTTAAACAGATTGGAATCCGACTATATGCATATAGTCGGATTCAAATATGTTTAAGGCTTGTATAAAATATTATTTCTAACAAGGATCGTATGATAGATTTTAAATGCCTTTCAAAGTGGTTTTCATCCTCATGGCCACAAACTGTAGCAAACTGCTCAAAGATTTTTATACCCTTCACTCCACTGTGGTACAGGGTATTATGTCGTTGTGTACATGTTTGTAACCGGCAAAAGGAAACGAGATAGAGACATGGTTCCTTTTGAGAATATGCATAGAATCACTTTCGAAGTCGATATATGCATATCCGTCCGTCCATCTGTCCATGTTAAAGTGTAAACAAAGTGCATGTCACATTTATTATTCGAATTGGATAAAATTTGGCACAAGTCACTTATTTGGCCCAAGGACAAACCCTATTGAAATTGAAAAGACAATCAGATCAGATTTAGATATAGCTCCCATATATATTTTCGTACGATTTAAGGTAAATGGTACACCAAAGTCCCTATATATCTTTCGATTTGCACAAAATTTGGCATAGCGTACTAAATTAAGTCTATAATGATGTGTGCTAAATTTTGTGGAAATCGGTTCAGATTTAGATATAGCTCCTATATATATTTTTGTCCGATTTTAGAAAATGATGCACCAAAGTCCCTATATATCCTTCGATTTGCACCAAATTTGGTATAGCGTATTGGATTGAGTCTAGAATGATATGTGTTAAGTTTCATGAAAATCGGTTCAGATTTAGATATGGCTCCCATGTATATTTTTATCCGATTGAGGGTAAATGGTGCGCCAAAGTCCCTATATATGTTTCGATTTACACGAAATATAGCATAATGTTCTAAATTAAGTCTAGAATGATGTGTGCTAAATTTCCTGAAAATCGGTTCAGATTTCGATATAGCTCCCATATATAGCTTCGTCCTATTTAAGGTAAATAGTGTGCCAAAGTCCCTAAATATCTTTCGATATGCACGAAATTTGGCACAGCGTACTAAATTAAGTATAGAATGATGTGAGCTTGGTTTCATGAAAATCGGTTCAGATTTAGATATAGCTCCCATAAATATTTTCGTCCGATTTAATGTAAGTGGTTCACCACAGTCCCTATATAAATTTGAATTTCCACGAAATTTGTCACAGCGTAATGAATTAGGTCCAGAATGTTGTGTGCAAAGTTTCGTGAAAATCGGTTCAGATTTAGATACAGCTCCCATATATAAGTTCGACCGATTTAATTTAAATGGTTCACCAAAGCCCCTATATATCTTTCGATTTGTTCGAAATTTAGCATACCGTACTAAATTAAGTCTAGAATGATGTGTGCTAAATTTCCTGAAAATCGGTTCAGATTTCGATATAGCTCCCATATATAGCTTCGTCCTATTTAAGGTAAATAGTGTGCCAAAGTCCCTAAATATCTTTCGATATGCACGAAATTTGGCACAGCGTACTAAATTAAGTATAGAATGATGTGAGCTTGGTTTCATGAAAATCGGTTCAGATTTAAATATAGCTCCCATATATATTTTCGTCCGAGTTAATGTAAGTGGTGCACCACAGTCCCTATATAAATTTCAATTTCCACGAAATTTGGCACAGCGTAATGAATTACGTCTAGAATGATGTGTGCAAAATTTTCGTGAAAATCGGTTCATATTTTGATGTAGCTCCCATATATAATTTCGTTCGATGTAATAGAAAGAAGGTTATGCAACTCATATCTTTGTTAAAGGCCTTTTTTTACGCCAGGTTTCCCACCTCTGACACCCATTCATCGAAAATGTCGATAAAATCAGTGAAGTGATCGAAGTTGACCGGCATGTTAGCAGTCGCCCAGGAGCTAAAAATCGACCATAAAACTGTTTTAAAACCTTTACACAAAGCTGGATTCAAAAAGTAGCTCGATGTTTGGGTGCCACACCAATTAACAGAAAAAAATAGGATGGATCGAATTTCCATCTGCGAAGCCTTGGCCAAACGGTATGAGATAGACCCCCCATTTCTTAAACGAATGGTGATTGGAGATGGTAACTGGATTACATACAATAACCCTAAGGGAAAACGATCGTGTCCAAAGAACGGTGAAGCATCTCAAACGGTGGCCAAACCAAAACTAACGGCTAGGAAGGTTCTACTATATATTTGGTGGGACTAGAATGGGATTATTTATTATGAGCTGCTTCCATATGGTCAGACGCTAAATTCTGATCTCTACTGTCAACAACTGGACCGTTTATAGATAGCAATTGACCAGAAACAGCCAGAATTGACCAAGAGGAGAGGTGTTGTGTTCCACCAAGACAGCGCTAGGCCACACACATCTACAGTAACTCGCCAGAAACTTCGGGAGCTTGGTTGGGAAGTTTTAATGCATTCGCCATACAGTCTGGACTTGGCACCAAGCGATTATCATATTTTTCATGCATTGCAAAATGCATTTAATTGGTATCTAGGGAGGATTGTGAAAATCGACTACTAGAGTTTTTGGCACATAGAGAACAGGACGACTTCTATGAAAGAGGCATTATAAAGTTACCTTTAAATAAAATAATAAAATCCTATTCTTCATATAAAAATAATGGATTTCTTTTTCCCCAACCTAATATATGTATAAGAATACAATGACATTTATCTCCTTGAAAAAAATATATTTATGTCCTTCTATCAGATGCTTCATGTCACATTTGGCGTCTTCTGTGTAAAGTGTATATGTCCTACATACTTCCTCCCCGTCTTCTTTTAAGTTAATTTCCACATCTTCTATTTTTAATATAATTTTTACCATTAAAATTATTTTCTGATAACAATCGGAGCCCCTTTCTGTCCTTTAATAAGAAAGACGCCTTGGTGTTCTATAGTGGTAATGATAAAATATTGGTATCTAGGGAGGATTGTGAAAATCGACTACTAGAGTTTTTGGCAAATAGAGAACAGGTCTTCTATGAGAGAGGCATTATGATGTTACCTTTACCTTTGGGCCTAATCGAAGCCCATTCCGAAGCATGTTAAATAAAGTCTCATAGTTTATATACAAATAATGGATTTCTTTCCTAATATAACACCTTCTATCAGGTGTTTCATGTCACATTTGGCGTCTTCTGTAAAAAGTATATTTGTCCTACATACTTCTTCCCCGTCTTCTTTTATGTTAATTTCCACATCTTCTATCTTTAATACAATTTCTAACATTAACAGCCTGTTTATGTATTTCGAAAGAAAAGTTTCTTTCGCTTTCAATGCGAATGAAAATCAATTTTGGTTCATATAAAAAGTTTTTACAGGCAAAATAAGTCGAACGATAAAGAACTCGAAAGAAAACGTAAACGTATATTTTTTCTTTACAAATTGGGTTTATGTATGACGAAAAAGCTGTCTTTATGCGAACGAGAATGTCATATTCACTCACTTGCTTTATAGCTTTCGAATGAGTTGCAAAATCGCGAACTATGTACGAAAATTTGAAGCACATTCACACAACACAATCTCTATACAAAATAAAAATTTTTGGAACATGTTTTATAGGTATGGTTTGTATTTTTTATTCATGTTTTTGGAAAATAAAATTGTACAAAATTCTAACAAATACAGAAAATTTCCATTTGACATTTTTTTATATTCAAATGTGTGATTGTATTTGTGTAGTTTGTTCTCATTTCTCATTTGACTCTCATTTATTGAACATTTTTGTAAAACTTTACATTTAATTTAGTAGTTTTTCGAATGGTATACGTAACGGCAAACGAACGATAGCTTTCGAAATACATGAACGCTTTTTTAAACGAAAGTGAGTGAGTTACTTTCTTTCGCATTGATTTTCGTTCGAAATAGAAAAACAGGCTGTAAAATTATTTTCTGACAACAATCTGAACCCCTTTCTTACCTTTAATAAGAAAGTCATTAGGTCCATCTATAACCAGACCATTGTATATAAAATGGATTGGTGTTCTATAGAGGCGTTTCTTAATGACCAATGTAAGAACGATCTCTAGATGACTTCTATATGCAGAATAACTATGGGAGATATTTTTTAAATAGAATACCTTTGAAAGAATTCTCGCCACAACTATTTTCTGTAATGTTGTCTAAATAAAAGTCCGCTAGAAAATCTATATTTATAGACCACCTCTAGCAGTTCCTCTATCTATAGAAAACCTTTGGAATCCTTTTACAGGGTCTTTGAAATAGTTTTTTCTTTATTTTTTTTTAATATATTTCTTTTTTAATAATAATATTTCTCTTTCTCTTCTTCTTTCAGCATTTCCGAAAATGCATATTCATTTTCTTGATAGTCGGTATGATCTTGTCCTATGCCGGTTTCTATTTTATACCCGAAAATTCAACGACAATACAGATGACGCCAAACGCCTTGGAAAATATTACCATGGATATGCGAAATATAACCCAATGTGATGAAAAGGTAAGTAGGAGATAAAGAGGCTGAAAGAGGGAATAAATAACATTTGATAACTCTCAAATTATAAACAATGGTCTGACAATTCGTTTTTTGTTTATTGATCGCCCGGATATCTTATCAGACATTATATGGAAAGTAAAAATTTTATTAAACAAAATGTGTGGGGGGAGAGTGCTAGTAGGGAAGAGGGCGATTAATTATTGTTAGCAACAATCAGATTTCGTTTCATATAAATGTCTAAAACTCAATTATCTTTAAATAAATCATTATTAGCTAGACAAATTAAATATTCATTGTCTGGATATAAAGTGGTTTATGGCCCCCCCCCCCCAATTTAGCCAAACACTCAGGGCGTGAATGATATGATTTTCTTTTTATTAGTGCTATAATTGTTAATAGAAATGAGGTAATGAAAATCCACCTTTTCTCCCTCGGGGTTTAAATTTTTATACCCTTCATCACACTGTGGTACAGGGTATTATGTCTTTTTGCATATGTTTGTAACAGGCAAAAGGAAACGAGATAGACACATGGTTCCTTTTGAGAATATGCATAGAATCACTTTTTAAGTCGATTTATGCATGTCCGTCCGTCTGTCTGTCTCTCCGTGTTAAATTGTAAACAAAGTACAGGTCGCATTTATGATCCAAATTGGATGAAATTTGGCATAGGTCACTTATTCGGCCCAAGGACGAACCCTTTTGAAATTGGGAAAAATCGGTTCAGATTTAGATATAGCTCCCATATATATATTTAACCGATTTAATGTAAACGACCCCTATATAACTTTTGATTTGCACGAAATTTGGTACAGCCTAATCATTTAGGTCTAGAATGATGTCTGCGAAGTTTCGTGAAAATCGTTCCAGATTTAGATATAGCTCCCATATATAGTTTCGTCCGATTTCATGTAAATGGTGCCCCAAAGTCCCTATATATCTTTCGATTAGCACGAAATTTGGTACAGCCTAATCATTTAGGTCTAGAGTGATGTCTGCGAAGTTTCGTGAAAATAGGTCAAGATTTAGATATAGCTCCCATATATAGTTTCGTCCGATTTCATGTAAATGGTGCCCCAAAGTCCCTATATATCCTTCGATTTGCACGAAATTTGGCATAACGTTTTTAATTGAGCATAGATTTATGTCTGCCAAGTTCCATGAAAATCGTTCCTGATTTAGATATAGCTCCCATATATAGTATCGTCCGATTTCATGTAAATGGTGCACCAAAGTCCCTGTATATCCTTCGATTTGCACGAAATTTGGCATGACGTACTGAATTGAGCCTAGAGTGATGTCTGTCTTGTTTCGTGAAAATCGGTCCAGATTAAGATATAGCTCCCTTTTATTAGAGATTGATTTCAAGTAAATTGGGCATCATACTCCTCATGTTAGTCAGATTGACATCAAATTTTGCACAACGTACAAAATTGAGCATAGAATTACGTAGTTGCGTTTTCTAGAAGTACAGACATAGTCCAACGGATGACCTATGTATATTTGTTTGAAGTCGATTTACATACTTTATGGATAGATCTAGGTAGATTCACATTTAGATAAATATCACATATTTTATTTCATCCAATTTCATGTTAATAGTCCTGTTTAATATACCCATAGTGGTGAAGGGTATCATATAGTCGGCCCGTCCGACTTTACTACTTTCCTTACTGGTTACTATAAGAAATGTGTATGAGACTTTCCAGTTATAAAATTTATATAGAAGATACCCTTATATACCATATCGAAATGTGAATCTGTTACATTTAGAAATACCCCAAATTACCATCAACTTTCATTCCTATAATTATACCTTTATAGTACGTTTACATTGTACCGGAATTATTAAATTGATCTAGATTGTCAGTTCAGTTCTAAGAGGATTTATTTGACATATATGTATGTCAAATAAATCCTCTTCTAATGTAAATGCCATTTTAAATGTCTCTCTCTTTAATTCACTATAATTTCTACAGCCTCTTCTTCTTCTTTTTTTCAATTTCAGTTATTCTCTGCATTAAATTTCAACACATTTTCAAACAAAGCTTTATGCGAAGGCTACAACAGCAATTTAACTTTCCCAGCCTATTTTGTGGACCCTCAAAGTCCTGGAATTTTGGAACTCAATCTAACCTCAAATGTTCAACAATATTTTATGTGCCTGGAAGGCAACTACAGCAGCAGTTTACCTCCACAATTTAATGGAAGCTGTAAATTTGAAGACTCACTCACCAGCACCACATCATCCTCCTCGTTATATCTTACCGCCACCTTTTGGATATTTGTGATACTCATGTGCTGTGGCACGATCGGTTTCAATGTCACCAATTCCATATCGGATGCCATTTGTTTTGATATGCTGGGTGATGATGCCGAACATAAATATGGCAATCAACGGGTATGGGGTACCATTGGCTTTGGTTTGACCGCCTTAATTTCAGGAATTGTGGTTGATCTCTGGACCGTTGATGCAGTGAAAAGTTTTACACCCGCCCTTATTATTATGTTGATCTTTGGCGTTTTTGATTTGTTAAGCGTTTCCAAACTGAAGTTGCCAAAACTCTCATCCTCCGAATCAATAACCAAAGATGTTTGGCAATGTATAAAACAACCTTCGGTGGCCACTTTTTTGGTATTTGCCACAATTGCCGGCATTATTGATTCCTTTATTATTTTCTTTTTATTTTGGCATGTGGAAGAGGTGGCAGCGGAGACGGGTTTTATGGATCAAATTAAACTCATTGAAGGTTGTGTGGTGGCTGCCGAATGTTTAGCCGGTGAGGTGCCCTTCTTTTTCTACAGTGGGAAAATTATCAAAAAGTTAGGTTATGTCCATTGTATGAGTATGTGTTTCTTTTTCTATGCTGTACGTTTGGCTTTAATCTCCTGGATACCAAATCCTTGGTATCTTGTCGGAGTGGAATTATTTTTCCAGGGATGTACTTATGCCTTGTGTTATACAGTGATTGTGGCATATGCTTCGGAGGTGGCACCACCTGGCACATCGGCCACAATACAGGGTCTTATCGCCGGCATGGATGATGGTTTGGGTTTTAGTATTGGTTCTCTAATTGGCGGTTTGGCCTTTAAACGTTTCCATGGTCGTCGTAGTTTTATGTATTTCTCCATTTTGGCCATCTGTACTTGTGTGGCTCACATTGTCCTAAGGCCAGCTTCGAGGAAACGGCAATATTTACCAAAAACCGGTTATCAGGCACCAATGGAACAAGAAATGGTAGCCATCAAAGAGAAAAAGGAGGAAGAACAGAAATCGATGTTAAATTCGGTATCATAGAAAGAAGTTTGGATCAAAATGAAATTGTTAATATGTACATATGTTAATTTGTTTGTATGTATGTACGTTTTTTCTTTTTGTTAATGACAATTTTCTATTATTATGATCATTGAATATTTTTTGGTAAGATCTTTAGCATTATAAGATATTGTTATTGAGGATTTTTATCGCTTTACTAATAGTTAAGAATTTATGGTTAATACTTTTTTATGATTGTATATTTTTATAAAGAAATGACGAAAAAATATATTGAATATAAGAACGAATTGTTGTTGTTATTTAATTAATTACTTTTTTTTGTGTTTGGGAAAAAAAGATAGAAATTGAAATCAAGAGTAATATGAAAAAATATTCTTTAAAAAACTCTTCACCACTTTGGTTATATTGTACATATCTATCCTTACAACTGTATGTCAATGTTCCTCGAAGGAACTTACTCATGTCTTTCTGCAACCTATGATATATTTTATTTCATAGGGGCAGACTTAGTGCCGTCTGCGTACCATGGGACAAAATTATGGAAAACGATTTCTAACAAAATTGATACAAGCTATTCGTTACGCCGCACTGTTAAAAATTTAATTTCAATCAGATACTCGTTTGAAATACATATGGAAGCTATGGTTGTTCACATCCGAACCGAATCGATTTTTCCGAAACTTACCACTCATCATTCTAGACTCAATTCATTACGCTATGCCAAACTTCGTGGAGATCGAAGGATATATAGGGACTTTGGTGCACCATTTACATAAAATCGGACGAAAATATATATGGAAGCTATATCTAAATCTGAACCGATTTTTACGAAACTTTTCACACATCTTTCTAGACTTAATTCAGTACGCTACGCCAAATTTCGTGCAAATCGAAGGGTATATAGGGACTTTGGTGAACCATTTACATTAAATAGGACGAAAATATGTATTGGAGCTATATCTAAATCTGAACCGATTTTCAGGTACCTAACACACAACATTCTACACCTAATTCAGTACACTATGCCAAATTTCGTGCAAATCAAAAGATATATTGAGGCTTTGGTACATCAAAAACATATGGGAGCTATATCGAAATCTGAACCGATTTTCACGAAACTTTATACACATCATTCTAGACCTATGCTTTGTCAAATTTCGGGCAAATCGAAAGTTATACAGGGACTTTCGTGCACCATTTACATAAAATCGGACAAAATTTTATATGGGAGTTATATCAAAGTCTGACCCGATTTTCAGCAAACAACACCCATCATTATAGACCTAATTCAGTACTCTATGCCAAATTTCATGCAAATCGAAAGATATATAGGGACTTTTGTACACCATTTACAATTAATCGGACGGAAATGTATATGGGAGCTATATCTAAATCTGAACCGATTTTCAGGAAACTTACCACTTATCATTCTAGACTCAGTTTATTACGCTATACCAAATTTCGTGAAAATCAAAGGATATATAGGGACTTTGGTGCACCATTTACCTTAAAATATATATGGAAATCTAATCTAAATCTGAACCGATTTTTCCCAATTTCAATAGGGTTCCAAATAAGGGAGCTGTGCCAAATTGCATTCAAATCGGATTATAAATGCAACCTGTACTCTGTTTACAATTTAACATCTACAGACGGACATGCATAAATCGACTCAGAAAGTGATTCTATGCATATTCTCAAAAGTAACCATGTGTCTATCTCGTTTCCTTTTGCCTGTTACAAACATATGCACAAAGACATAATACCCTGTACCACAGTGTGGTAAAGGGTATAAAAATGTACAAATTTACCCGTTTATTGAACCTAGGGGCGAAAACTAATTGTTTCGCCTTTATACTCACCTGCGCTTACTGTCCGACCTTATATAGACCTTCGTCTTTAAGAAAGAAAACTACATTTTTAAATTTGTTATGTTTTTTCTTGATAAATAAATATATTATTAATTATTTGAATAACTTAATATTTAATTTAATATTATATTCTTACATAACTTAATATTAAATATATTAGGTTGGGGAAAAAAGAAATCCATTATTTTTATATGAACTATAGGACTACTTTATTTAACATGCTTCGGAATGTCCAAATATGCACCGTTTTGTTGTATGATTTGTTGCCATTTTAAAGGCAACTTCATAATGCCTCTCTCATAGAAGTCCTGCTCTCTATGTGCCACAAACTGTAGTAGTCGATTTTCACAATCCTCCCTAGTTGCCAATTTTTTATCATGAAAGACATTTTGCAATGCCTGAAAAAGATGATAATCGCTTGGTGCCAAGTCTGGACTGTATGGAGGATGCATTAAAACTTCCCAACCCAGATCCCGAAGTTTCTGACGAGTCTCTGTAGATGTGTGTGGTCTAGTGTTGTCCTGATGGAACACGACACCTCTCCCATTGGCCAATTCTGGCCGTTTCTGGTCAATTGCTATCTTCAAACGGTCCAGCTGTTGACAGTAGAGATCAGAAGATAGGGTTTGGCCATGTGGAAGCAACTCATAATAAATAATCCCCTTCCAGTCCCACCAAATACATAGCAGAACCTTCTTGGCCGTTAGTCCTGATTTGGCCACCGTTTGAGGTGCTTCACCGTTCTCTGGACACGCTCGTTTTCGCTTAGGGTTATCGTATGTGATCCATTTCTCATCTCCAATCACCATCCGTTTAAGAAATGCGGGGTCTATCTCATACCGTTTGGCCAAGGCTTCGCAGATGGAAATTCGATCCATCCTATTTTTTTCTGTTAATTGCTGTGGCACCCAAACATCGAGCTTCTTCTGGAATCCAGCTTTGTGTAAATGGTTTAAAACAGTTTTATGGTCGATTTTTAGCTCCTGGGCGATGTTACGACTGCTAATGTGCCGGTCAACTTTGATCATTTCTCCGATTTTATCGACATTTTCGGCGACCGGTCTACCTTTGCGAGGTGCATCTTTAACATCCAAAATTCCCGAACGGAATCTACGAAACCAGAATTGGACATAATTGGCTGTTACAGTATCGGGACCATAGACGCCATTCACCATTTTAGCCGCTTGACTTGCATTGACGCCTTTGTTAAAGAAATACTGTAAAATGTACCGAACTGCCTCTTTGTTCACTTCCGTTTTTTCCATTTTGAACACCCTACAACTACTGAATGCACCAAACAAAAAACGGGCAAAATAATTAAAATAATTTTTTTAAATCGTTTGATCGATACTTTATGAAAAGGCCATTGAAAAACGTTACACTTGCTAACGAATGGGGGGAGAAGACAAAATGGCTGATAAAGATAAACCCAAAAAGATATAAACAAATGTTTACGAATGAGGTGGGATGGAGACTGAATGAGAACCGCTGTTGTTTACGAATGAGGTGGGATGGAGACTAAATAAAAACAACACATACACTCACACAGCAGCTGCAGTCAGAGAACCGAGTCATACTGAATTGCAATGTGTGACGGCGTTGCTGACGTAAAACGATCAGCTGTTTTTTCCTAATTTAAAAAGCACATTTATAGTACGTTTACATTTAACCGGATTTCGTTAACCCAAGGGGGTTCAATTGTCAATTCCCTTGCATATGTGCCAAATAAATCCTCATAAAGTAGGTTAACCCGGTAAAAAGTTCTATATGTAGTGACGAAAACTGCAAACCCCAGCCGAAGAATTTCCGGAACCAAAGCTGCTTCATATCACACAAGGTTGATTGTCCAAGACCTCTAGGCGCTTTCGAGGCTGCTGAGGAGAGGTAAAAAATAGAAAAAAATTAGGAGTGGGAAAAGATGTCAAAAATTAGTGAGCGATCCAGAAAAGGTTAAAATTTAACTAATGTCACAGGTTGTATCACAGGGATAGGGGTCAGGATCAAAGATGTATTATCGCCTCTTTGATGAAGCGAATTAAATTCTTGCATAGCTCTTCCTCAGTGACTTAAGAATTGTCATAAGATTGTTGTGATGGGAAAAAGGGTGGAATAAACGGTCCTATATCTTGGGCAATTAAAAATGCAGTGTTCCATGTCTTCAGAAACGCCACATAAATCGTATTGCCAGGACAATACGAATGTCCTGTCATTAGCTTGTTAATCAATTTTGTGTCCTCCGGGCTCAACTTGATTTTGTAATACCACGGTTTACTACACACATCGGCACAGAATTGGAAAAAGAATCTGCCTTCAGGCAAGGAAATTGTTTGAAACTCGTCATTCCACATGTCCTTTACTCTCCATTCTATCTGTTTTATCGCTTCCTTCTTGGTTCAATACGTCAAAATTGTTACTCCTGCATCCACCGCTTGTTTTGCCAGAAAGTCCACAACTTCACTAAATATGCCTTTATGACTCGGAGTCCAAACCACATGAGATTGGTACACATTTGCCCTCCTCAAAAAAATTGTTACATTCAGCAACCAGATAATGAGCCTTACAAGCCGCAAGGCTGTCTGTAAAGATGGCCAGATTGCCATAACCATCCTCCTCCTCAATTTCATGAGTCTTTTTTATGACATAAAGTTCGCCGAACATGAACGAGGACTTAATGTCCAACTTGAAGAGAAACTTGTCCTTATTGGATACATTGTATACACCACACTCTGTGGTCTCACGTCCAACCGATGCATCACTGGCAAAAATAGTTAAGCCATTATATCTATAGTACTTCACCTTACAGTCGTATATGGCATGTATGAAATCAACAGATATGTTCTGCTTCGTAAAATGTATAAGATTTGTTCTGATAGTCAATTTATCCTGATATGTATATGAACTTATTTTGATCGTTTGGAAGATGTCAAACTCGTCAAATATTGCACTATAACTGTGGGTTCTCCACTACTATCTCATATAACCTCTCATTGCTGTATATGTTTCTTATAATTTCCTTAGCTGTTAGGACTTTTGTTCGATATTTGGGGGGTAGCTCGCCAGCTAGGGCATACCCTACATGAATCGGTGTAATGGTCGTTACAACCAACGATCTTCTGGTCATTTCATTCTGCAAACGCTCAATCATTTTAT